AAATTGTGTTTTCATTTTTTTTGATATATACCCAGGAGTGAAGTTGCTGGGTCATAATCAAAATTAATCAAAAAGAATAAAATGCATAAGAATAAACTTAACCAAAGAGGTGAAATATCTATACCCTTTGTTTTGATTGGAGCATTTGGCACATCCATTGACATATTAATTATTAATAGATATGTACTTATTACCATTTTCTTACTTGTTTTCTGGTTGTTTTTGTAGTTTGTCTCTGTTCTTTTCTCTTTTAGTTTCTGCTCTTGTGGTTTTATAATCTCCTTTAGTGCTTTATTTGTGTTTCTCTCTTTTTTGTGTATCTGTTGTTGGCTTTTTATTTGTAGTTACTGTGATGTTCATCTATGTTGACCTGTAATTATGTCTACTTGCTTTAAATTGGTAGTAATTTAAGTTCAAACACATTCTAAAAGCAAGATAATGCTCAAAGTCTTTCAAACTAGGCTTCAACAGCACATGAACTGAGAACTTCCAGATGTAGAAGCTGGATTTAGAAAAGGAAGATGAAAAAAAGATCAAATTGATAACATCTGTTGGATCATAGAAAAAGCACAGGAATTAAAAAAAAATCTACTCCTGCTTCATTGACTATGCTAAATCCTTTGACTGTGTGGATCACAACACATTGTGGAAAATTCTTGAAGAGACAGAAATACCAGACCACCTTACCTGTCTCCTTAGAAACCTGTATGCAGGATAAGAATCAACAATTAGAACCCAACATGGAACAAAGGATTGGTTCCAAATTTGGAAAGGAGTACGTCAAGGCTATACATCATCACCCTGCTTATTTAACTTATATGCAGACTACATCATGAGAAATGCAGGGCTGGATGAATCACAAGCTGGAATCAAGATTGCCAGGAGAAATATCAATAGCCTCAGATATGCTGATGATACCACAGAAAGCGAAGAGGAACTAAAGAGCCTTGAGATGAGGGTGAAAGAGGGGAGCGAAAAAGCTGGCTTAAACTCAACATTAAAAGAACTAAGATCATGGCATATCTGGTCACATCACTTCATGGCAAATAGATGGCAAAACAATGGAAACAGTGACAGATTTTATTTTCTTGGGCTCCAAAATCACTGCAGACTGTTATAGCAGCCATGAAATTATAAGACATTTGTTCCTTGGAAGAAAAGCTATGACAAACCTAGACAGCGTATCAGAAAGCAGAGACATCTCTTTGCTGACAGAGGTCTGTCTAGTCAAAGCTATGGTTTTTCCAGTAGTCATGTACAGATGTGAGAGTTGGACTATAAAGAAGGCTGATACTTTCACTTTATGGTGCTGGAGAAGACTCTTGAGAGTCCTTTGAACAGCAAGGAGATCAAACCAGTCACTCCTAAAGGAAACCAACTCTGAATATTCATTGGGAAGACTGATGCTGAAGCTGAAGCTCCAATACTTTGATACCTGATGCAAAGAGCCGACTCATTGGAAAAGCCCCTGATTCTGGAAGAGATTGAGGGCAGGAGGAGAAGATGGTGGCAGAGACTGAGATGGTTGGATGGCATCACTGACTCAATGGACATGAAATTGAGCAAACTCTAGGAGATAGTGAAGGACTGTAAAGCCTGGCGTGCTGCAGTCCATGGGGTTGCAAAGAGTCAGGCATAATTAGCGACTGAACAACAGCAACACATTCTAAAAGGTCTATATTTTTTACTATCCCCATTTATGTTTTAGATGTTATATTTTGCATTTTCATGTTTATCCCTTAACTGTTTATTATAGTTATAGTTCATTTGATAATTTTTGGATTTTTCATCTTTATTTAGCTCATTTAAGTAGTTGATCCACAGCTTTTGAATGTAGGATTTTTTCTTTCCTCTAGATTTTTACTTAAGGTTGTAGTTTTTTCTTTTTATACTCAGAGAAGACTTTTTAAATGTTCTTTTAGGGTAGGTTTAGTAATGATGAACTCTTCTAGTTTTTGCTTGGGTTAAATTGGATTAAAGATTTACTGAGCATGGCTCTGCCCATCAGAACAAGATCCAGATTCCCCTATATCAGTCTCTCCCATCAGGAAGCTTCCACAAGCCTCTTATTCTTATCCATCAGAGGGCAGACAGAATGAAAACCACAATCACAGAAAACTAATGAAACTGATCGCATGGATCACAGCCTTGTCTAATTCAATGAAACTATGAGTCTTGCCGGGTAGGGCCACCCAAGATGTGCAGGTCATGGTGGAGAGTTCTGACAAAATGTGGTCCACTGGAGAAGGGAATGGCAAACCACTTCAGTATTCTTGCCTTGAGAACCCCGTGAACAGTATGAAAAGGCAAAAAGATAGGACACTGAAAGATGAACTCCCAAGGTCAGTAGGTGCCCAATATGCTACTGGAGAAGAGTGGAGAAATAACTCCAGAAAGAATGACGAGATGGAGCCAAAGTGAAAACAACACCCAGTTGTGGATGTGACTGGTAATGGAAGTCAAGTCTGATGCTATAAAGAACAGTATTGCATAGGAACCTGGAGTGTTAGGTCCATGAATCAAGGTAAATTGGAAGTGGTCAAATAGGAGATGGCAAGAGTGGACATCAACATTTTAGGAATCAGTGAACTAAAATGGACTGGAATGGGCAAATTTAATTCAGATGATCATTATATCTACTACTGTGGGTAAGAATCCCTTGAAAGAAATGGAGTAGCCTTCATAGTCAACAAAAGAGTCTGAAATGCGGTACTTAGGTGCAGTCTCAAAAATGACAGGATGATTTCTGGTCATTTCCAAGGCAAACCATTCAATATCACAGTAATCCAAGTCCATGCCCCAACCAATAATGAAGAAGAAGCTAAAGCTGAATGAATGTTCTGTGGTGACCTACAAGACATTCTAGAACTAACACCAAAAAAAGATGTTCTTTTCATTATAGGGGACTGAAATGCAAAAGCAGGAAGTCAAGAGATACCTGGAGTAACAGGCAGTTTTGGCCTTGGAGTACAAAATGAAGCAGGGCAAAGGCTACAGAGTTTTGCCAAGAGAGCACACTGGTCATAACAAACACCCTCTTCCAACAACACAAGAGAAGACTCTACACATGGGCATCACCAGATGGTCAACACCAAAATCAGATTGATTACATTCTCTGCAGCCAAAGGTGGAGAAGCTCTATACAGTCAGCAAAAACAAGATCAGGAGCTGACTGTGGTTCAGATTATGAACTCTTTATTGCAAAATTCAGACTTAAGTTGAAGAAAGTAGAGAAATCCACTAGGCCATTCAGGTATGGCCTAAATCAAATCCCTTATGATTATACAGTGAAAGTGACACATAGATTCAAGGAATTAGATCTGATAGACAAACAATTAAAAGTTCTTCATAGCCTGAAGGACTATGAATGGAGGTTTGCAACATTGTACACGAGGCTGTGATCAGAACCTTCCCTCAAAAAAAAAAATTCAAAAAGGCAAAATGGCTGTCTGAGAAGGCCTTATAAATAGCTGAGAAAATAAGAGAGGTGAAAGGCAAAGGAGACAAGGAAAGATACATCCATCTGAATGCAGAGTTCCAAAGAATAACAAGGAGAGATGAGAAAGCCTTCCTAAATGATCAATGTAGCACAAGCTGGAATCAAGATGGCCAGGAGAAATATCAATAACCTCAGATATGCAGATGACACCACCCTTATGGCAGAAAGTGAAGAAGAACTAAAGAGCCTTTTGATGAAAGTGAAAGAGAAGAGTGAAAAAGTCACCTAAAACTCAAAATTCAAAAAACTAAGATCATGGCATCTGGTCCCATCACTTCATGACAAATAGTTGGGGAAACAGTGGAAACAGTGACAGATTTTAGTTTTGGAGGTTCCAAAATCACTGCAGATGGTGACTGTGGCCATGAAATTAAAAGATGTATGCTCCTTGGAAGAAAAGTTATGACCAAACTAGACAGCATATTAAAAAGTAGAGACATTACTTTGCCAACAAAACCCCATCTAGTCAAGTCTATGGTTTTTCCAGTGGTCATGTATGGATGTGAGAGTTGGGCCATAAAGAAAGCTGAGTGCCGAAGAATTGATGCTTTTGAACAGTGGTGTTGGAGAAGACTCGAGAGTCCCTTGGACTGCAAAGAGATCCAAACAGTCCATCCTAAAGGAAATCAGTCCTGAATATTCATTGGAAGGACTGATGTTGAAGCTGAAACTCCAATACTTTGGCCACCTGATGCGAAGAACTGACTCATTGGAAAAGACCCTGATTATGGGAAAGATTGAAGGCAGGAGAAGAAGGGGATGGCAGAGTATGAGATGGTTGGATGGTATCACCACCGACTCAATGGACATGAGTTTGAGTAAACTCCGGGAGTTGGCAATGGATAGGGAGGCCTGGCGTGCTGCAGTCCGTGGAGTCGCGAAGAGTCGGGCACAACTGAGCAACTGAACTGAACTAAACTGAAAATAAGAAATGACTAAGTCCTGTGTGGGCTTCCCTGGTGGCTCAGAGGTAAAGAATCTGCCTGCCAATGCTGGAGACGCAGATCTGATCCCGGGGTCAGGAAGATCCCCTGGAGGAGGAAATGGCAACCTACTCCAGTATTCTTGCTGGGAAATCCCATGGACAGAAGGAGCCTGGTGGGCTATAGTCTATGGTGCTGCAAAAGAGTCAGACACAATGACTAAACAATAGCAACAAGTCCTGTGTGAGGAGGAGAAAAGAAGAGAAAAATTTACTTAAGAACCTAATAAAGATTTAAGTAAATGGAAGCACAAAATATGATCCTTTATAAAAAGACCTGATATTTTCTTTTCTGAATATCACCCCTTATTACCCAGTGAGAGAATCTGAAAATTTTAAATTTTATTTAGAAAAATAAATGAGCAGGAATGTCAACAACAACAAGTTTGAAAAAGAAGTGTGTTATTTGCACAGAAATGGGCAGATGGTCAGTGAGGCCACAGGCACAGTCTTATGTAGCTGCTGGAGGCTCAGAAGGGACAACTGGAAATGGGCTCCATTATAAAAGAACGGCTCAAACTAAGTGCTGTTTGTACTTATTTCCTGGATGCCAAAAATGTCTTTGAAATCGTCCTCAAATTGGACCTCTAGTTGAAGTCCCAGATTGATGAAATTTTTGTTCTGAAAAAGCAAAGACAGAAACAATATTAGACACCTGATGTTTCGTTTAATCCAGAGCTTTATTTTAGACCCCCAAATGTCAAGTGAGAATTGATCCAGTTGAGAGTAGTTTATGTTTCCTGATAGCTGGATTGTTTTTTTTTATCTGGAAGACATAGGAGCAAAAATGGCACTGTGTTACAATCTAATTCTTCATCATAAATTTGTTGATTAATTAAAACAAATTCTAGCTATTTGATTTTGAACATAGCACATATTCCACGCTACAGTATGAAAATACAGTAAGACCTAAGGTAAGTTTATGGTGTCTTCCTTTATTATTCATCCCCACCCCTTGAGATAATCTGTATTAACTTTTAGATACAGCAGTAGGAAATGTGAATGTAAAGAGATCCAAGATTTTTAAATTTGAGAAAAGTGGTCTGCTCTCTTCCTTTAGAGGAGAGAAGTGCAAGTTGTCTTTAAAACATGCTTCTAGGGACATTCCTGTTGGTCCAGCAGCTAAGACTTTGCCTTCCAAGGCAGGGTGTGTAGGTTTGATCCCTGGTTGGGGAACTAAGATCCTAGATGCCTTGAGGCCAAAAAATCAAAACACAAAACAGAAACAATATTGTAACAAATTCAATAAAAACTTTAAAAATGGTCCATGTGAAAAAACGTAAAAAAAAAATTTGCTTCTTGCTGATGAGAGGCCTGGCCCCACTTCTGTGTGAGCACCAAGGCCATGAGAGTTCTGCTTTCCATCCAGAAATGCTGGAAATAGGGAGATGCCCAGGCGTTAGGGGGAGGGCCCTGTACACACATTTCTGAGGGCCCGGATGCCAGAGGGCAAGTGCATAGCGGCAAACTGCACATGGACCTACGATGCCTCAGCATCCAGACTCTCCAGGATGGTCTCCAAGTCTGGGATGAGTGAGGATAGAAGCCTAGGCCAATGGCAGGGACTTCTGAGGCACACACACTCCTGCCAGGTCCAGTAAAAATAAATAAATAAATAAAAGTACTTCCATTTCCTGTGGAAGGTACTGGGTCTGCAGTCCACTTTTGCTTGGGCTTCCCAGGTGGTGCCTTGGTAAAGAATCCGTCTGCTGATGCAGGAGACACAGGAGTCATGGGTTTAATCCCTGGGTCGGGAAGATGCCCTGGAGAAGGAAATGGCAGCCCACTCCAGTATTCTTGCCTGGAAAATCCCATGGACAGAGGAGCCTGGCAGACTGCAGTCCATGGGGTCACAAAGAGTTGGACATGATTGAGCACCGCACCAGTGTTCTTTATGGGCAAACTGAAGAAGGAACTATGTAGAAGAAGAACTATGTAGAAGAAGTAAACTCTGAGGTCCAAGGGTAATGCTTCCAGCGATCCCTTCTGATCTGTTATTATGTTCCCTGCCATTGCCCACAGGGCTTGTAGAATACTGCCAGAATTTTTACTTGTGTGAGCTTGAGGGAAATTGTAACATTTACTTGATACAGGAAGTTGAAAGGCAAAATAACTTAACTGAAGGAGAATAGGAGCAGGGAGAACCACTTACCCTGTAAACTACCTTGTGGTTCTGGAAAATGAGGCGAACATCCCGCATAAACTCCCGCACCGTGCGGTACAAGGTCATTGACAGCTTTTTCTTGATTTTCTTTAACCACATGGGCTCCTTAATGTCCCGAGAAGTGACTGTAGTCTGTTGACAAAAGTGCCAAATGGTAGTCATGGTTCCAAGTTTCCCTTCTATTGATTCCCACTGTTAAGGACCAAGTGCTTGTATTCCCCCAGATTCATATGCTGAAATCCTCACCCCCACTGTGATGGTCTTAGGAGGTAGGACCACTGGGAGGTAATTAAGTAATTGTGAGGATGGGGCCTTCCAAATAGGATTAGTGCCCTTATACAAGGAATCCCAGGAACTTCTCTCTCCCTTTCCATCATATGAAGACAAGATGAGAAGTGGTTGTGTGCAACCTGAAAGAAAGTCCTCACTATGGCCTGACCATGCTGGCACCCTGATCTTGACCTTTCAACCTCCAGCCACCCAGTCTATGGTAGTTTGTTGTAACAGCCTAAGCTTCTAAGGGCTGACTGAGCTAACTAAGACATCCATCAACAAGGCAAAGAGATTGCCAATGTGTGCCCATTGATTCATATCACAAATTTGACAAATACCAGTTTGCAGTTTTTATTGCTGTTACTTACATAGTGTGGTTCTGAGACAAAAAAGGAGCTTTTTGGAGAGCAATAGAGCTTCAAGAGGAGAAATTCACATTTCTGCCAAAGATAGACAAGATTTTTAAGTGACAAGCAGCTTGGAAAGAATGAGCTTTTACATATGCTTAGATCAATGCACAACCCCCCAGACCTGCAGACCTCCCCAGACAAACACAGAATGGGAATTTTCTGTGGCTTATGGATTTTGGTGTCAGGTAATGTGATCAGAACACATCAAGGCACAGCAGTTTGCCTTGGGCACTCTTCCTGCTGCTCCCTGCAAGATGGTGCTCCTTCTCTTGTGTAAACAGCAAGGAGGGGGCTTAGGTTTACATTTCAACTCACCAACTGCTCTCTAGGCACCATCTGCTTCTGTAGGATCTCAGATTCTTGATAAATTGGCTGGCTTTCTGAGCAACATTTCTTAAGATCCTCTATCTGGCAGAAGGTGCAACTCCATGGGTTCCTGAGAGGTCAAATATAAGGTCAGCAAAGCTGGGTTCTCTGTGACTCAACCATTGTCTCCATAGCTGCTAAAGTCCTCTGTTCGGGAGTAACTGCAAGTTTCCACCTGTACCCAATTTCTTTCTGACACCCCTCTTGCACTGGGGGCCCATTTGGGCTCAACTGCCAAAAACAGCTCTCCCATCAATAATGGTAGAAGACTGACAGTCTCAGTGAAGTACTGCAGTGGGTCAGGAGTCTCATTCTCTTCAAAACTTAGGGTTCCTGTCTGAGCTACTGTGAGTTTGGTTATGAACTCTGCCTTTTAGAAATAAGAACTAGAAATTGGTATGTTAAGTATTGGAATCTTGGGCCTTGATGATCCATCAACTCACAATAAAAATCATGAAATAAAAAAAAAATCATGAAATCAGCCCTTTTTGTCAGCTTTGCTGAGTAAGCACAGAGCATAAGCGATAGGTATTATTATTTTTTTTCCAGTCATTGCTATCTCTGTGTCTAGAATCTGCACTGCAGAAACTTCTTGAAAAGGAAATCTACCAAGAGAGGGCCAGATGTTTTTCATGTGCCCCTAGATTTGTTCTCTACTCTCCTCTACCATGTTCTCTGTCCTGGGGCACTCTTGATAATCTGAAAAGAAGAGACAGTGATCCAACCTAGAGATGTCATTTAGCATCTCTCCTGGGCCACCCCAGAGGTTGCTCAAGGGGGCCCGTTACAGTGCCCATGGTGCCAGGGTGGCCTGCACTATACAGGAGCTCCACAGAAAAGTGAATCCTTCTACCTCTGCAGAATGCCCAGCTGCAGATGTTTATGCTGAATTCCTGTCAGTTCAGTTCAGTTCAGTCATTCATTGTGTTCAACTCTTTGCGACCCCATGGACTGCAGCATGCCAGGCCTCCCTGTCCGTCACAAACTCCCGGAGTTTACTCAAACTCATGTCCATTGAGTCGGTGATGCCATCCAACCATCTCATCCTTTGTCATCCCCTTCTCCTCCCACCTTCAATATTTCCCATAATTAGGGTCTTTTCCAATGAGTCAGTTCTTCACATCAGGTGGCCAAAGTATTGGAGTTTCAGCTTCAACATCAGTCCTTCCAATGAATATTCAGGACTGATTTCCTTTAAGATGGACTGGTTGGATCTCCTTGCAGTCCAAGGGACTCTCAAGAGTCTTCTCCAGCACCACTGTTCAAAAGCATCAATTCTTCGGTGCTCAGCTTTCTTTATAGTCCAACTCTCACATCCATACATGACCACTGGAAAAACCATAGCCTTGACTAGATGGGGTTTTGTTGGCAAAGTAATGTCTCTGCTTTTTAATATGCTGTCTAGGTTGGTCATAGCTTTCCTTCTAAGGAGTAAGTGTCTTTTAATTTCACGGCTGCAGTCACCATCTGCAGTGATTTTGGAGCCCAAGAAAATAAAGTCTGCCACTGTTTCCCCATCTATTTGCCATGAAGTGACAGGACTGGATGCCATGATCATAGTTTTCTGAATGTTGAGCTTTAAGCCAACATTTTCACTCTTCTCTTTCACTTTCATCAAGAGGCTCTTTAGTTCTTCTTCACTTTCTGCCATAAGGGTGGTGTCATCTGCATATCTGAGGCTATTGATGTTTCTCTTGGCAATCTTGATTCCAGCTGTGTTCATCCAGCCTGGCATTTCACATGATGTACTCTGCATATAAGTTAAATAAGCAGGGTGACAAGATACAGCCTTGACGTACTCCTTTTTCTATTTGGAACCAGTCTGTTGTTCCGTGTCCAGTTCTCACTGTTGCTTCCTGACCTGCATACAAGTTTCTCAAGAGGCAGGTCAGGTGGTCTGGTATTCCCATCTCTTGAAGAATTTTCCACAGTTTGTTGTGATCCATACAGTGAAAGGCTTTGGCATAGTCAATAAAGCAGAAATAGACATTTTTCTGGAAGTCTCTTGCTTTTTCAATGATCCAATGGATGTTGGCAATTTGATCTCTGCTTCCTCTGCCTTTTCTAAAACCAACTTGAACATCTGGAAGTTCACGGTTCATGTATTGTTGAAGCCTTGCTTGGAGAATCTTGAGCATTACTTTACTAGTGTGGGAGGTGAGTGCAATTGTGCAGTAGTTTGAGCATTCTTTGGCATTGCCTCTCTTTGCTGAATTCCTGAGGTGGCACAATCTCTGGGAGCTTCATGGAAGCAAATGAGCTATGTTAAACTCCTCCCACTTTGGAGGAAAAATGCTCTATCCTCATAGGGATGGACATAATCCTGGTAGAGATTCTCCTCCTTGGCCCCAGAAATTCTACTACTTCTAAAATACCTTCTCCTTCTATATGTTATCTCACACATCATCACCTCTGGCCAAAGATACACTTTACCATAAAGGAAATGAAGTAGTGGACTCACACCCACAGAATTCAGGGATCTTATCCTGAACCCTGAGATTCAAGATCAGCTGACTTGATAAAACTGCGATGATCATCTTCTGCAGGCTCAGAACAGTCCCGGTTTTGTCAGCTTTGTGATATTCCCATTTTGTTGTTGTTGTTCAGTCGCTCAGTCGTGTCCAACTCTTTGCGACCCCTGGGCTGTTGCATGCTAGGCTCCCCTGTCCATCACTATCTCCCGGAGTTTTCTCAAACTCAAGTTCATTGAGTTGGTGATGCCATCCAACCATCTCATCCTCTGTCATCCCTTTCTCCTCCTGCCTTCAATCTTTCCCAGCATCAGGGTCTTGTCCAATGAATTGGCTGTTTGCATCAGGTGGCCAAAGTATTGGAGCTTCAGCTTCAGCATCAGTCCTTGCAATGAATATTCAGGACTGATTTCCTTTAGGATGGACTGGTTTGATCTCCTTGCAGTCCAAGGAACTCTCAGGAGTCTTCTCCAGCACCACCATTCAAAAGGATCAATTCTTTGATGCTCAGTTTTCTTTATGGTTCAACTCTCACATCCGTACATGATTACAGGCAAAATAATAATTTTGACTATAAGGACGTTTGTCAGCAAAGTGATATCTCTGCTTTTTAATATGATGTCTAGGTTTTTCATAGCTTTTCTTCCAAGGAGCAAGCATCTTTAACTTCGTGGCTGCAGTCACCGTCTGCAGTGATTTTGGATCCCAAGAAAATAAAATCTATCACTGTTTCCACTTTTTCCCCATCCATTTGCCATGAAGTGATGGGATCAGATGCCATGATCTTAGTTTTATGAATGTTGGGTTTTAAGTCACCTTTTCCACTCTCTTCTTTCCCCCTCATCAAGAGGCTCTTTAGTTCCTCTTTGATTTCTGCCATTAGAGTGGTAGCACCTGCAATAGCTGAGGTTGTTGATATTTCTCCTAGCAATCTTGATTCTAGTTCATGGTTTATCCAGTCCAGCATTTTCCATACGTACTCTGCATACAAGTTAAATAAAAAGAATGACAATATACAACCTTGTAGGAATCCTTTCCCAATTTTAAACCAGTCAGTTTTTCCATGTCCAGTTCTAACTGTTGCTTCTTGACCCGCATACAGGTTTCTCAGGAGACAGGTAAGGTGGTCTGGTTTTGCCATCTCTTTAAGAATTTTCCAGTTTTTTTTTTTTTTTTTTTTTTGTGATCCACACAGTCAAAGGCTTTCGTGTCATCAACGAAGCAGAAGTAAATGCTTTTTTCTGGAACTCTCTTGCTTTTCCCATGATCCAATGAATATTGGCAACTTCATTTCTTTTTCCTCTGCCTTTTGTAAATCCAGCTTGTACATATGGAAGTTCTCGATTCACGTACTGCTGAAGCCTAGCTTGAAGCATTTTGAGCATTACCTTGCTATCATGTGAAATGAGCACAATCGTATAGTAGTTTGAACATTCTTTGACACTAGAATGAAAATTGACATTTTCCAGTCCTGTGGCCACTGCTGGATTTTCCAAATTTGTGGCCATGTTGAGTGCAGCAGTTTCACAGTATTATCTTTTAGGATTTGAAATAGCTCAACTGGAATTCCATCACCTTCACTAGCTTTGTTCATATTAATGCTTCCTAAGGCCCACTTGACTTCACATTCTAGGATGTTTGGCTCTAGCTGAGTGACCACACCATGGCAGTTATTTGGTCATTAAGATCTTTTTTGTGTAGTTCTTCTGTGTATTCCTGCCACTTCTTTTTAATCTCTCCTCTTCTGTTAGGTCCTTACCATTTCTGTCCTTTATTGTGCACATCCTTGCATGAAATGTTCCCTTAATATCTCCAATCTATTTGAAGAAATCTCTAGTCTTTCTGATTCTATTGTTTTCCTCTATTTCTTTACATTATTCATTGAAGAAGACCTTCTTAGCTCTCACTGCTATTCTCTGAAACTCTGCTTTCAGTTGGGAATATCTTTCCCTTTCTCCTTTGCCTTTCACTTCTCTTGTTTCCCCAGCTGTTTGTAAGGCCTCCTCAGACAACCATTTTGCATTTTTGCATTTCTTTTTCTTTGGGATGATTTTGGTCACTGCCTCCTGTGCAGTGTTACAAACCTTTGTCCATAGTTCTTCAGGCACTTTGCATACTGGATCTTATCCCTTGAATCAATTTGTTACCTCCACCGTATATTTGTAAGGGGTTTGATTTAAGTCATACCTGAATGGTCTAGGGGTTTTCCCTACTTTCTTCTATTTAAGCCCAAATTTATTCAGATGACCATTATATCTACCACTGTGAGCAAAATTCCCTTAGAAGAAATGGAATGGGACTCACAGTCAATCAAAGGGTATAGAATACAATATTCGGTGCAATCTCAAAAACAACAGAATGTTCTTGGTTTGTTTCCAAAGCAATCTATTCAATATCATAGTAATCCAAGTCTATGCCCAACCACTGATGCCAAAGAATCTGAAGCTGATTAGTTCTATGAAGACCTACAACATCTAGAAAGAACACCAAAAAGGGGTGTCCTTTTCACTGTAGTGGATTGGAATGCAAAATTAGGAAGTCAAGAGATACCTAGAATAACAGGCAAGTTAGGTCTTGGAGTACAAAATGAAGCACAGCAAAGCCTAACAGTCTTGTCAAGAGAACATGCTGGTCATAGCAAACACCCTTTTCCAACAACCCAGGGGATGACTGCACACGGACATCACCAGATGGTCAATACTGAAATCAGATTATGTTCTTTGCAGCCAAAGATGGAGAAGCTTCTATTATATCATCAGCAAAAGCAAGAGCTGGAGCTGACTGTGGCTCAGATCATCAGTTCTTTATTGCAAAATTCAGCCTCAGATTGATGTTTCCATAGCAGGTGGTATATGTTTTAAACCAGTAACTAATATACGGTGCATCACCCCGTCAAAATGCATGGGTCCGGGAATCAAGTGAGGGAAGTGAGGGTTATTCCTTTCCCTATTATACCTAATCACCACTTGAAGAGTTTTCTTCTCATTAATCTACTGCTACTAGCACTGCTAAACAGCTATGTATCTTATTTCTGAATCCTGATACCTAAGAACTCTGCTTCTGAATCAAGACACATACAACAAGAGACAACTTTGCAGTCTGAGTGTGCATGATGGGAGAAACATAAGAAGGAAGGGCAGGAGGGAGCCAGGTCTCACTCACTTGGTAGCAACTTTCCGTGGAATGTGGCAGTTCCCATGAAAGAACCTTGGACACGTATCGCAGGATAACAGCTTGTTCTTTTTACCGCACACCTCGCATTTTTTTGAGTTTTCTGGCTAGAAGGGGAGATGATGTAAATATCATTGGGATCAGCAAGACTCTGGAAAGTCAACCCTGTGGTTGGCACTGTAGACACACAGCCTTTACTTGGACCTAGGCGATACTTGTAAACCATTCTCAAAATGGTTTATGGTTTACTAGAGTTCAGGAGAAGACTTTCTGGTCTGCAGTGAAGTTCAGGAGGAAGTGGCTATGTGTTAAACTTTCAAAGTTTTCTTTATAGAGACAGAGATTCTGACACATGAAGGCTTTCAACAACCACAGAAAAGGATAAATTAAAGATAATCTGAGAAATTTATTATTCTGAAGGCAAAATCTGTCTCAGGAATACAGTGTCTCGTCTAGTTGTCTATACTGCATCATTTACATTGACTCATTGAAGAGTGATTTACTGAGAATTTTTTTTTTTATGGTCCTTTGGCCATGTTGCATGACATGTGGGAATCTTCTCTGACCAGGGACTGAACCTGCACCGCCTGCGCTGGTAGCAGTGTCATAACCATTGAACCACCAGGAAAGTCCCTACTGAGACTTTACATGATAGAATAAACATCTGAGAGATCACTGCATCCCATTTTCCTTGTCGTAAGTTCTCTGTGAATTGAAGGACCTGAGGAGGCATTCCTGGGTTATGGATTTTGTGCTGGAGAGCCCCTGAGCCTGCAACAGTGCCTCTGGTTGGAAAGACCATGGGCACAGATAATCAGGGGGATGCCAGGGCAGACAGACCTCTCTGGATCTGAAGCCTAGGGAAAGCTATCCCATGACTTAACTTGGCATCTAGGTGTGGAGGTGCCATCTCTCAATGGCTGGGAGCTGTGGTAATGGCAACCACTGGAGTTGAAGGCCAAGGTCTTACCCTAATTTTCTGAGCCCATGGAAGACCTGGTGCTTTGTCCTGTGTAAGGAAGATGAAAGGGCCCACAAAGTCTGTTGGTGCAGGATTTTTCACCAGTCTCAATATGTGGGGCCTTTCAGTTCAGTTCAGTTGCTCAGTCATGTCTGACTCTTTGCAACCCCATGAACCGCAGCACACCAGGCCTCCCTGTCAATCACCAACTCCTGGAGTCCTCCCAAATCATGTCCATTGAGTCAGTGATGCCATCCAACCATCTCATCCTCTGTTGTCCCCTTCCCCTCCCACCTTCAATCTTTCCCATCATCAGGGTCTTTTCCAATGAGTCAGTTCTTCGCATCAGGTGGCCAAAGTATTGGAGTTTCAGCTTCAACATCAGTCCTTCCAATGAACACCCAGGACTGATCTCCTTTAGGTTGGACTGGTTGAATCTCCTTGTAGTCGAAGGGACTCTCAAGAGTCTTCTCCAACACCACAGTTCAAAAGCATCAATTCTTTGGCACTCACCTTTTTTTATAGTACAACTCTTACATCCATACCTGACCACTGAAAAAACCATAGCCTTGACTAGATGGACCTTTGTTGACAAAGTAATGTCTCTGCTTTTTAATATGCTATTTAGGTTGGTCATAACTTTACTTCCAAGGAGTAAACATCTTTTGATTTCATGGCTGCAATCACCATCTGCAGTGATTTTGGAGCCCAGAAAAATAAAGTCAGCCAGTTTCCACTGTTTCCCCATCTATTAGCCATGAAGTGATAGAACCAGATGCCATGATCTTAGTTTTCTGAATGTTGAGCTTTAAGCCAACTTTTTCACTCTCCTCTTTCACTTTCATCAGAGGCTCTTTAGTTTTTCTTTACTTTCTGCCATAAGGGTGGTGTCATTTGCATATCTGAGGTTATTGACATTTCTTCCAGCAATCTTGATTCCAGCTTGTGCTTCCTCCAGCCCAGCGTTTCTCATGATGTACTCTGCATAGAAGTTAAATAAGCAGGGTGACAATATACAGCCTTGTCGTGCTCCTTTTCCTATTTGGAACTAGTCTGTTGTTCCATGTTCAGTTCTAACTGTTGCTTCCTGACCTGCATTCAGGTTTCTCAAGAGGCAGGTCAGGTGATCTGGGGGCTTTTAGCCAGATTTTATTTCATTCAGTGACATACTAGAGGGATGGGATGGAGTGGCAGGTGAGAGGGAGAGTCAAGAGGGAAGGGACATGTGAATACCTATGGCTGATTCATACTGATGTATGGCAGAAACTAACACAATATGGTAAAGCATTATCCTTCAATTAAAAATAAATTTATTTAAAAAAAAGAAAAAAATTGACAGTGTTTGCATCTAAGTTTTGTGGAGTAACAAGCAGCACATGTTAAAACTGCAGAATTTATGGGGACTTCCCTGGCACCTTAGTGGTTAAGACTTCCCCTTTCAATGCAGGGGGTGCAGGTTCAATCCCTGGTTGAGGAACTAATATCCCATATGCCTCACGGTCAAAAAACCAAAACATAAAACAGAAGCAATATTGTAACAAACTCAATAAAGACTTTAAAAATGGTCCACATAAAAAAAATCTTAAGAAAAAAAAGCCTATAGAATTTATAGACCAAAATAAGAATGGTCAAGGAAGGAGCCCATTGGTGGGCAAGGAGAATTAAATTTCTTCCTTTTTATTTTTGGTGATAATCTATGTGGCAATAACATGTGAATCTCTATTTACTACGATTTCTATGTATGAGGGTCATGTGTCTGTTCTGCAGAAATGCCCAGAGAATGGGCACCTGTTCCCTCTCCTGGCTCACCTGAGTGGAAAGACAACCGTGTTGTGGGAAACAGTTCATCTAATAGATAGCGGCTCTTCATCTAGATGAAGCTACCCTTTCTACACCGTGGGCTGGAAGAAGAACTTCACATGACAGTCTAGGCACCAAACAGTCGCAGGTTTGGGGACCGGCCCACCTGTGATGTGTAGCGGGGACCCTGGTGGGTGCTGAGGAAGTGTGGGCTGTGGGGAGGGCCATTCACCTCTTCCTTCTAGAAACACTCTCTATGCTTTGTTCCATGACACTCCATCCTCTTTGATTTTTCTAACATGTTTCTTCTTTTCAGCTTCCAAACCTGGAATGTTGGAATTCTGTAGGGCTCTGTCCTGTTGTCCCCTACCCATTTTCCTCTCCTAGATGACCACAACTACTCCCATGACCTACCACATTCATCCCTAGGCTTTAAGACCTGTGTCTCTCACGTGCATCCCAGTGTTCACCGCAGCACTGTTTATAATAGCCAGGACATGGAAGCAACCTAGATGCCCATCAGCAGACGAATGGATAAGAAAGCTATGGTACATATACGCAATGGAATATTACTCAGCCATTAAAAAGAATACATTTGAATCAGTTCTAATGAGATGGATGAAACTGGAGCCCATTATACAGAGTGAAGTAAGCCAGAAAGATAAACACCAATACAGTATACTAACACATATATATGGAATTTAGAAAGATGGTAACAATAACCCTATATGCAAGACAGAAAAAGAGACACAGATGTACAGAACAGACTTTTGGACTCTATGGGAGAAGGCGAGGGTGGGATGATCTGAGAGAATAGCATTGAAATATATATATTATCAAGTGTGAAACAGATCACCAGTCCAGGTTGGATGCATGAGACAAGTGCTCAGGGCTGGTGCACTGGGATGACCCAGAGGGATGGGATGGGGAGGAGATGGGAGGCGGGTTCAGGATGGGGAACACATGTAAATCCATGGCTGATTCATGTCAATGTATGGCAAAAACCACTACAATATTGTAAAGTAATTAGCCTCCAACTAATAAAAATAAATGAAAAAAAATCCTAAGAAGAAAACAAACAAAAAAATAAATAAATGGCCATAAGCAAACTTCAAAAAAAAAAAAAAAAACCTGTGTATCTGGTCTCCTGGTCTTCTTTTGAGTACCTGAGCATCCAAAAGCTACTTTTTTTAAAACTCATAAAATTATATGTCTTTCATCATGTCTGAAACCCATTGTGCCCCAGACCACAGTCCTTGTCTTTCTGTCTTGAATGTGCTCCTCTTCTGGTGCCCCCTCCTCTCATTAAGAGCCCCACCATTTACCCAGGAGACTGGAAGTGAACATGGATACCTTCCCTTACCCCATTCCAGACATCCAACCTGTTACCAGTCCTGCTGATCTGAATTTTTAAATACTCCATCTCATTCTCAGTGCTTTTATGAGGCCTGTTGCTACAAGAATGCAGAGCCTCTACTTATAATATAGTATTATGAGCCAAAGCAAAATGGCCTGATATTTCCAAATCATAACAGTCAGAATATTATCCTTGAGCCCAATGAGCTGAGGTGAATTGGAACACACGTTGATCGGTGGAAGCATTTGGTCTTAAAGAACAGTGCAAATAGCATCTCTTTCTCCAGAAAACACAGTGGGTGCAAATCCTAGTTACTGAATCTTTAGCATATAGTCAGTGGAGCAGGTATCCCCAGAAACCAGCTTTGTGAAGATCATGACTTCCTGGTTTGGCAGAGATGGCCAAGGTTACCTCTGCTGGAAGTTAGGAAAACGGAAGTTTTTCTATTTCCTTTTTTTCACCTCATAGCTTCTCTCTCACACACTGTCTTGGAGAGGAAGACATCAACTATCTGACGCCTTCCCCAGAATCCACACAACACAGACAGCACTAGTCCATGAATGTCACATGCTACTTTGAAGGAGAGAATTTGCCTTCATTGGTGGCATTAAGGTCTGCACAGCCCCTCTGATGGGGTTGAAGGGCCTCTCCGCAAAGGAAAATATTTTCCAAGGGCGCTCCTGCTTCCCAATCAGCGTATTCTTTAACGTGTCATCTCCATGAAGGAAATAAAATTTACCTTGAAGACAGAGCCCTTGAGGAAGGACTCAGTGTGAGTGGTTGTGTGCATGTGAAGGAGAGGTTTGGTTTTGTTTTTGCTTTGCCAGGTGACATATGACTATATATTCGTTCCAAAGGGGATTTCTACATTAGGTCTATACTAGGTCAGCTAGAGTGACCATGAGATGTTTCCATTTTGCTCAATCCTTATTTCATTAAAGCCAGAACCCAGAAAAACCAGTGAAAATACAATCAGTGTTGCAAAAGCAACCATCATTAAACACACTTTTTTTGTGCCTTCCAAAATCATGCTTTTCCACCTCTAGCTCCATCTTTTATGTCTAATTTTAAGACAGTATGTCCCCTGCAGTGGCCTATATGGGAAAAGAATCTAAAAAAAAGAGTGGATATATGTATATATATAACAACCCACTTTGCTCTACACCTGAAACTAATACAACATTTAAGTCGACTGTACTCCAATAAAAACTTTTTAAAGAAAGACAGTACAGAAACTCACCTAATGAGCTCCACTCTGAGAGCATGTTGAAAGTCCAATTTGTTGGTTAGTCCAACAAAGTTAGCCTAGGTACCCAGCTAACACAATCAACTCTATGGTACTGTGCTGTAATAAACTTGTAACACTTTTCACACAAATAATACAGAAAAGGCAAACAAACACAAAAAGTAAAGAAAACATTTTTAATGTACAGTTGGAGTACCCTGAGATGTGCAGGAGTACAGTACAACAGCTAGCAGAGACTGAACAGGCAAGAAGGCTTACTGACGGGACGAGGGACTGGAGGTGGAAGACGGGAGAGCTGAAGGATCGGCAACAGGAGAGGGCGGGCAAGCTGCAATTTCACTCACGCCTGACGTTGATGACACAGGTTCTGGTTCTTTGCTGGATTCAATTCTGTCTATCTCTTTAAAAAATGATACAGTGATGTCTGGGTGGTGGCTGTTTTTTTCTCATCATGGATGACACGGTAGCATCGGACTGCATTCTGAACGGCTGCTACAACCTTCTTGTACCGTTCTACGCGCGAGTCCTGTGCCTCAGAAACTAAGGGTGCCTCTTCAGATAAAGAAAATCCTCTTGCCATTTCCTGCCTCGTGCATCTCTTCAGTTCTGCAGTTACTTCCTTTTGTCTCTCTTCGTCCTTCCTCTGGGCCTCCAATTCCTGGAGTTTCTTAGCCATACCAGCTACATCACTGCTGCTTTTACAGTTGTTTCCAGACATCCTGGACTTGAAATAAAGATACTGTACTACTATCCTCTATACTGCCCTGTTCAGTAAAGTACACAAAAGCACCATTAGCTGTGGAGGATTCACATACATGACCACATGCCAGACACGTGAACGAACTTATGTGATTGAACATGCGAATGCACGTTCGCATCTTCGAAAGCTTGCAACTTTAATGTTCATATATAGGGACTTACTCATCTATTTTTCTAAAACAAATGTACAAGGTCAGTTCTGCCTCATTATCTATTTTTAAGGATTATCTCCACCCTCTATCTCAAATATTTTAAAACTCAAAGAAGTCCCAGCTTCACACACATAAATGTTTGGACGTAGCAAAAACACCATACTATAAAGTCAAGCTTCATCATAATTGGTTAATTTAGAAACTATGAAATAAAGCCAGAGAGATGAAAAATCAACAATATGGTAGGTGAGACAGAAGATAATAGCTACCTTTTTCCTTTTTCTTGGTGGGTTTGGTAGGCGTCCTTCCTGAAAGAAAAATGAAATTCATGCTGTGATGGGTCCTTGTTTCTACTTTGTGAGCTCAATAATTCCAACTGCCTTTCATTCATGTCCCACTGTCAACATGAGTTCGAGGGATCTTCATGGGAAATAAACTCCCTCTCCAAGTCTGTAATGCACTGCTCTCTGTTACCCAGCCTCATATTTAAAGTCAGCTTTAAAAACTGTATCCTCACGCTTGCTCTCCTTATAAAGTCTTGCCAGAATTTCCTTTACAACCACTTCTACACCTGCCACTTCCTTTCCATCCCCCAGTATCCCTCTAGCTTGTGTATTTATACCTCGAATACTATAGCTATTCTGTTGGTACATACCTAGTGAGTGATTGACAGGTGGCAGGCCTTATCAGTGGCCTTGGACACACACTCTCTTTGGGGAGACAAGTGGGAAAAGCTGGCACAGAATCGGTAAGAATGATAAAGTTTAAACCGTGCTCTCAGAATATTTCAGGATCCAGAGATGGGTAAGTATAGTAGGCTAAATAATGTCTGTTGTTCCCCACACTCCCCCATCCCCACCAAGATGTTCACATCCCAATCCCCAGACCCAGGAATGTGCTAATTTATACAGTAAAAGGGACTTTGGTCCCTATTAGAGGGGACAGGAGGACCAGAGTCAGTAGTAGGAGATGTGATGACAGAACAAGAGCTGGAGTGATGTGAGGAAGGGGCCACAAGCTAAGGAATGGAAGCTGCTTCCAAAAAAAAGCTGAAAAAATTGAGGGACAGATTCTCCCTGGAAGGCTCCAGGAGGAACCAGCCCTGCTGAACCTTGACTTGAGTCCTGTGAAACTGATTTCATGCTTCGGGTTGGCAGAACTATGTGATAATAGATTTACATTGTCTTAAGGCACTAAATTAGTGCGAAATTGTTACAGCTGCAATAGGAAGCGAGCTCAGGGAATTTGCAAGGACTCCAACAGAGTGTGCCTTTTGTGCTGGGCCTTGCAGGTTGAGTGGGGTTGACCAGGTGGAAAAGTGATGGAGGTCGTTTGATGTCTCCATGGGTTAAACTTCCCCACCCTGTAATCCATCTTGCATTCCCTGATCAGATTCTTACCTCTACAACACTCTTTCAACTTAGTCAGTCAGTCCCGAACCCAAACCTCCCATGATTGCCCCATGATTAAATGAAGGGCTCAGTCTTTTTTCTTGGACCTCAAGGCCTCCACAATCAGCCCTGCTCATGTAGGAAACTTTATCACCCACAACTTCTTGACAAATCATACCATCCTTTCTATGCAGAATTTCTCAGTCCTACCATTTTGCTTGTTGGAAGTAGTCTTCTTTTAAGACCTAGCTCAGTGCAAACTGTCCCATGAAATTGGACTTAACTTCAAAGACAGAAATGACCTTCCCTCCCCTGAGCTGTCTTTTCCTGCCAGCGAATCTCATTATGCTACCCATGAGCTGTGCAGTCCTGTGCTTAGAAATGAGTAGTTGTCTTCCTGATTGGGGGTTGGGGCCACACTTTACTTTAGATGTATTCAATAACTATCTTCTCATCATTAGAGTGGCACAGGGAAGGACCATCTGGGGCATGTGATACAGAGCCAGGAGGCACAGGTTCATCTGTGACAGAGATCTGGCCTGTTTTGTTCACATCAGGGGCTGATAAGAGGATCAAAGAGATATTTTAAAATACAGTTTAAGATATTCTTTTTCAAGAATGAACTTTATAAGTCTATCCAGAAAACACTCACTCTGATGCATTATTTTCAGATACATAGTTCTATTATTGTTGTTTTAAACACTCCCCTGACAAAGTCTAAGATCTTCCCCCACCAAATTAAATTTATTAAATTTAATTTACTTTCCTGTGACCAAATTACACAATGGCAATTATTAGTGGCAGCGCCAAGGTCACAATTTTTACTGTTCTACCTCCAAAATTATAAGAGTTTGACTACTACTCAGCCATAGAAAAGAACAAAATTTTGCCATTTGCAGCAACATAGATGGACTTGAAGGGCATTATGCTAAGTAAGCGAATGTCAGAGAAAGACAAATGTAAGCGTGGTATCACTTATATGTGGAATCTAAAAAAATATATACAGCAAACTAGTGAATAAACATAAAAAATGCAGACTCACAGGTATAGAGAACAAACCAGTGGTTAACAGTGAAGTGGGGAGAGGAAAACACAGAAGTAGGGGAGTGGGAGATACAACTAGTGGGAGTAAGACAAGCTCAAGGATGTATTGCACGATAGGGGGAATATAGCTAATATTTTGTAATAAATGGAAGTGGAAAGTAACTTTTAAAAATTGAATAAAAAATTAAAAAATTTAAGTGTAAGAGTTTACACACTTAGAGGACTGAGTTGTAATGAAAGTCAGCAAAGATAGCACCCACATGAACTATTAGGATAATATATGCTTTGTGACCTAGGCATGGTGATTTTCTGGAAGTGTCCTGCTAAAGCTTGAAGCCGGTGACCCATGGCACAAAACCCTTGATTGCAGTGCTTTGACGCTAGAATACCTGAATCAATTTTTCCAGGGTCTGTCCACAACAGCGCACACTCTTCTTCCAGTTCCTGGAGCGTTCAAGGCCTCCTAGTTTTTCAAACTCCCTGAGGGTGTGCCACATTCCATTCTCATCCTTTATACACTTTTCTGAGGAGCCTGTGAGACCAAGACAAGGTGAGCTCCCTTTCTTGCCAGGGCATGCACCAGACTGTGAAAACCCCAAGACTTGACCTCCCACGGCATGAATCTGGGCCATCTGTTTTGGCTTCAGAACCGTCAACAGGAGAGCAGAGTCCCCTCTTAGGGACCCAGAGCAGTCTGAAAGGCAAGGGTAGGAGCCAACTTCCTGTCCAGTGTGCATACTTTGACCTTCATGCAATGAGAAGTGCAGTAATTGCCACCCGGAGTGCGTTCTAACTCACTTCCGTCGTGTCCAGCTCTTTGTCACCCCATGGACTGTAGCCCGCCAGGCTCCTCTGTCCATGGGATTCTCCAGGCAAGAATACTGGAGTGGGTTGCCATTCCCTCCTCCAGGGATCTTTCCGACACAGGGATTGAATCCTCATCTCTTATGTCTCCTGCATTGGCAGGCGGGTTCTTTACCACCAGTGCCACCTGGAAAGCCCCCAGTTATTACCCACATTTGCTTAAAAAAATATTTCCTTATGTTCAAAAGAAAAAAAAAAGAATGAATCAAAAGATGAGTAGGGAAGATTCTTTCTCTTCCCTTCTCTGAGACCTGAGATAGAACCAGGCTGAGTTTCTGAGGGGGCAAGTGAGGTCACACGGGGTCACCATAGCTACATCTGCCTTGTCTTGCACAAAAGTTGATCATTTCAGCTAATGGCAAGCAACTATTTCTCATATTTTGAATTCAAGCTATTTTATGCTAAAAGAAATTAGGAAATGCTATAAAGTGGGAAAAGATAAATTATATATGTGCTATGGCTACCTGATGCAAAGAACTGACTAGTTTGAAAAGACCCCGCTGCTGGGAAAGATTGAAGGCAGGAGGAGAAGGGGACAACAGAGGATGAGATGGTTGGATGGCATCACTGACTCAATGGACGTGAGTTTGAGTAAACTCCGGGAGTTGGTGATGGACAGGGAGGCCTGGCATGCCACAGTCCATGGGGTTGCAAAGAGTTGGGCACAACTGAGCGACTGAACTGAACTGATATATTCATTAGGCAAACATTTATATATGGACTTCCCTGGTGGCTCAGATGGTAAAGAATCTGCCTGCAATGAGGGAGACCCAGGTTTGATCCTGGGATCAGGAAGATTCTGTGGAGAAGGGAATGGTTACCCACTCCAATATTCTTGCCTGATGAATCCTACAGACAGAGGAACCTGGCAGGCTACAGTCCATGGGGTGGCAAAGAGTTGGACATGACTGAGCCACTACCATACACACAAAAGCAAAAAACCCATTTATATTGGATTGGCCAAAAAGTTCATATGGAGTTTTCTGTAAGATATGGAAAAATTGAACAAACTTTTTGCCCAACCCAATACTTGTTGGTACTGAATGAACTATATTTTGGGAGGAGGGAATCAGTTATGATAGATGAGCAAGATGAGCATTTGTATTATAACAATTATAATTTGTAAGCTTTTACATCTATTATGTCAATTTTTTCTCATGATATGGTGAAGCAAGTTTTATTATTATTCCCATTTGGGTGAAGACTAAGCTCAGTATGAGAGATAATACGTTGGCCCATACAAAATAGACAATTTTGGTACAGCTGAAACTCGAATCCAGGTCTTCTGAGCCTAAAGGCTGTGCTCTTTTTCAGTGAGCAAAAGGCCAGACAGACATTACAGGGAATCGACTGTGAAGGATGCTGTTGGGTTTCTCAAATGTGTACATCTTCCATCCTGTTATTGAAGCACTTGCCCTTGTATTGGGTGTAGATGGGAACCTGTGGGCACTTTCCATGGCAGGAGAGGAGATGGCCTGGGCAGCTAATGTTCATTGATTTAAAAAGTGTGGAAATGCCATCTTTCCTCCAGCCTCTCTGGGATGCTGTGTGGAAAAGAGCCAACAGAGAAGAACTGAGCCTGCTTTCTTCAGAAGGTCTGTTTGCCAGGTGGCCTGTGGCTGGCATCTGGGAACATGGACTTGGGAAGGGGGTCTCACTATTCCCAGAACTTAAGAGTGGCTCACTGTGCCTGAACTGTTGGTATAAATGATACAGTGTGTGTGGAATGTCTGCTTTCCTTTCAAGAGTTTGGAATTTTGGCATGTGCTAGGCAGAGCGTACTTATGTAACTAAGTAAGTAAGTGAAGTTGCTCAGTTATGTCTGACTCTTTGCGACCCCATGGACTGTAGCCTATCAGGCTCCTCCATCCATGGGATTTTCCAGGCAAGAATACTGGAGTGGGTTGCCGTTTCGGACTCTTAGGCTCAGGGCAGCTTCCCTGGCAGACAGCATTGCATATCGTTGCTGGAGAATTAAGTGCGTCATGGGGACCCCTTTGGGAGAGGACTTTGGAAACTGACACCTCTACCATGTGCTTTTTCCCCTTCCTGATTTGTTTGTTTGTTTGTTTGTTTGTTTTTTGCCTTTTCAATAGAATAAATAAGAGCCACGAGTTCAACAATATGCTGAGTCCTTTCAGTCTTCCTGGTGAACCACGAGACCTGGGGATGGTCTTAGAATGTCTTAGAAACATGTTCCTCTCCCCAACAAGGGTCTACAACCTGTACAATATATTATTCACATGGGAGTTTTCTAACTGAAAATTGTAGAATATTGTGAAGCCCACCTTTTTTCATTTTCTCCTTGTATAAAGTCCCCGTCGCTTTACCACAAGTCACAGGAAGCTGCTCACTTTGAAAATCCACATTTGTATCTCTGAGAGCTCTTGGACCTGCAAGGAAGCATGCGTTTTTTCATTCCATCTTGCTCTAAAATGGTCTCTCCTCCCCCATCTTGAGATCCTTCTTTATAACTTAAAATATAATGGGAGGATTTCTCCCATGAATTAGGTACATTTCTAGGTCTTTCTTTTATGGCAGGTTAGGTCCATAAAGCTAATGTCACTTTATATCCCAATCCTCTGAAATCCTACATACATACCTCTTGAGGAAGGATCTGAATTCCCAAGCTTGTTGGCCCTAGCTACCTATTGCATGATCATTTTCCTACTGCTCTTTTGAAGGAAGATTTATAGTCATATCATCGCTTTGAAGTTATACAGATGGAGAAAAAGCCTCAATTTTTCATTTTTTCTCTCTGTTTGAGGGCTCAACTGGGGCAACAAAGCAGGATTGCAATGGGCCCCCAGCGGGTCAGTTCTGTCTTCCCGCCTTGCTTTCTGCTTTGCTTCACTTCTCTTTCATGCGAGCTTTCTCTGTGGCTAGAAGGTAACTTGCTCTAGAAGAAACCACAAATTGCTCAGGGAGAGGGCCTCTGTACACCCTTGGGTGGGGGTGCTGAGGTCTGATTCCTCTGAAGCAGGTGCTGAAAATCTTATAATGTCAGTAGTGGGAACACCTTCTCTTGCCCTTCTGGCCAGCATTGAAGGGGATCCATTAAAGACCGATATTGGGGCTTCTCTCTGGATGGGGAGGGTAGGCTGTGGACAGTCCTTCCAGAGTTAGTTCTATTAGAGTTGGGTGGAGTAGGAGGCCATCCAAATTTACCTGCCACCCACCAATTTACAGAGGAGGATATTGAGGCCAAAAAAAAAAAAAAAAAAAGAGTGACAGGCCAAAGTTATACAGTCAAAGAAATTTTAGGAATTTCTTTGCTAACAGGTCCTGTTACCACTCAGAGTCCCCTTTGGTGGCTAGCCTATGGCTCTCTATGTAGGCAAGAGAAGAATGAGCTAAATATTACGTGAGTCATACTCTTTAGATGCATTTCTTCATATTTCCCTCCTTAAAAGTTATCACTGTGGTGAGGGGAGACCTGCTCAGGAGACCTGGGGGTCTCTCACAGATCAACTGACTAATCAGTGAAGTGGGTGCCTGTCATGTTGTTGAAACTGACTAGGACCTAGGACTATCCTAGTGTTTGTTACTGGCTCTATAAGTCAATTAAGAAAGTTGATTGATCACTAAAAACATGAATTATAAAATAGAAATTTGCATTACTTTAATTAAAAATGCATTAATCATTTATTTTTTACCTCTTTTTCTGCCTGTTTTCAAAGACTCAGTGCAGACTGTTTCTCTCCCTGGGAGAAAGTAGAAAAATAACATAAATGTGTCTTTTAACAACATTGTGTTGCAAATAGTGTTTTGTAAAAATACCATTCAAATGTCACTTTTCAGGAGTCTATCTAGTACATCAAGAAAAATGTCAAATGCCTTGATAAGGAGTTAGGAGTTTTTTCTGTAAAGGGCTATAGAGGAAAATATTTAAGATGCTATGGACCACAATTCCTTTTGTGATTACTCAGCTCTACTATTTTATTGTGAAGGCATCCATAGACAATTTGTAAATGGTAAGATGTGGCTCTGGCTCTGTTCCACTAAAAATGTATTTGTGAAACAGTTCATGGATTGAATTTGCCCTGTGGACCATAGTTTGGGGAACCGTAGTCTAGACTTAGTTACAAAGATGATGCCTATCTGGGATATATCCTGTATTTCTTTTACTAACATTTCCCAGTCATTCCAAATAAAATTGAAACCGTGTCTTACATACTTCCCGAGTAACAGAGCAGCAATGTGAGTAGTGTAATGAAGTTGGACATCTGTCAAGTCTTTATTGTGCACCAGGAATGATCCTTAGAACCTGTCTCTATTGATGATTTACTTTATCCTTAGAGCAAATTTATCAAATAAGAACTAATACTATCCTCATCTTACAGATGAGAAAATTGATGTGCACATCTAAAAATACAAATTAAATAAAAGCACTGAAGATTTACTTTTATAAAGAGGCAGTGATTAAAGGCAGTAATATTAGGTCTCAAGGAAAACTTTATGCTCAATTCTGTAGGTCAGATAACTGCCAGAAAACTCAACTTGAAAGGTTTTTGACCAAAAATGGCGCAAAAATGAGCAAAGACAGATAAAAAACCAAACTAGCTCAATGGCCCAAAGAAGGGAAGCTTATAAAATTGATTGTTGTTTTTGTTGCTGTTTTTCCACCACTAGGTCTTGTCTGACTTTGTGACTTCACGGACTGTAGTGTGCCAGGCTCCTCTGTCTTCCACTATCTCCCAGAGTTTGCTCAAAATCATGTCCCTTGAATCAGTGATGCTATCTAACCATCTTATCCTCTGCTGCCCCTTCTCCTTTTGCCTTCAATGTAAAACTGATGCCTGAGTTCCTAAAGTTGTAGGGTTAGAGACAGCACAAAATGTTGACTTAGATATTTCAGAAAAATGTAGTATCTGATTCAATTGCTGATTGCATCCAAAAAGATCAGGCATGTCCATGTGCATGTGTAGGTCTGCCATCATTCAGCAGTGTCTGAATGTTGAAGTCAGGGATGCTTTCTAGCTAAAGGTCTGTGCCCATCATTCAGTTCCCATGACTAGAATCCTAGAGTACTAATTTGGTAATGCTGGTTCTGGGAGAAAAGAGCTCATATATGAAGCTGAGGTGGGCCTTGCTGGCCAGTTAGTCTCTTTATTATTATTTCATTTTACAGAGGAGTAAACTCAGGCAGAAGAGGCAATGTGACAGACCCAAGTCCACAGGACTACCTCAGGGGGTTGGGACGTGGGGCAGGACAGTTTCATCACTTGTGAGTTACACAGTGTTTTATAGCTACAACTATTTCCAGCCTCAAAAGTTATCAGTTCGGCACTGCAGAAGCTCTTGGGCCTTGAGTTCTAGTTGCAGATTCCACCACCATGCTACTTGTTTGAGATATCATCTTTGTCTCCCTGTCATGTTTTAGAAGTTGACTAAATCTGGTATATTTCGCAATGGTTAGCAGCTACAGAAAGTAACAAGGGAAATAAGTCTATTAATAAAAACATAGACTAAAACAAAAGAATTTAGACATTTAGTTATTAATAATTTATTTATATATTTATTCCTCTGGGTTTGCCTCTTTGAGGCTCTGTTACTCAGAATTTCAATTCTATGTCTCCCCCTTTTTCTGAGAAAATAGAAAAATATAAAACAGATGCTGCTGAAAAGTTGCATTGCATATAATAATACTTTTTAAAAATTCCATTTTATTGTAAGTTGTCAAGAGCCTACTGCATAAAGAAAAATAAATACTCCATAGCCTTGCATTTACCAAGACTTTGATAGTTAACCTGGGTTCCTAGATTTCATGTTATTTACTCTCACACTAATCCAAATACTTTACATCTACATTTAAAAGAATTTAAGGCAAGTTTTATTTCTTATATCTAAAGGAACACTTTGAGAATGATAATAATGAAAGCTGAAAATGAAGGAGAGTAAAAATGCTGGCTTAAAACTCTACATTCCAAAAAATGAAGATCGTGGCATCTGGTCCCACTACTTCATGGCAAATAGATAGGGAAACAATGGAAACAGTGAGACGCTTTATTTTTGGGGGCAACAATGGAAACAGTGAGAGACTTTATTTTTGGGGGCTCCAAAATCACTGCAGATGGTGACTGCAGCCGTGAAATTAAAAGATGCTTGCTCCTTGGAAGAAAAGTTATGATTAACCCAGCTGACATATTAAAAAGTAGAGACATTATTTTGCCAACAAAGGTCCCTCTAGTCAAAGCTATGGTTTTTCCAGTAATCATGTATGGATGTGAGAGTTGGACTATAAAAAAAGCTGAGCACCAAAGAATTGATACTTTTGAACTGTGTTGCTGGAGAAGACTCTTGAGAGTACCTTGGACAACAAGGAGTTCAAACCAGTCCATCCTAAAGGAAATCATTCCTGAATATTCATTGGAAGGACTGATGCTGAAGTTGAAACTCCAATACTTTGGCCACCTGATGTGAAGAGCCAATTCATTGGAAAAGACCCTGATGCTGGGAAAGACTGAAGGCAGGAGGAGAAGGAGACAACAGAGGATGAGATGGTTGGGTGGCATCACTAACTCAATGGACATGAGTTTGAGCAAACTCCTAGAGTTGATGATGGTCAGGGGAGCCTGCTGTGCTGCAGTCCGTGGGGTCGCAAAAAGTTGGACACAACTGAGTCACTGAACTGAACGGTTGTTACATGCTTATTATATGCCAGACGTGAAATAAGACCCTTACATTTACTAATTTATCTTAAGGAGTTTTACTAGCCCCATTACCTATAAAGAAATTGAAGCATCCTGAAATTAAAGAAATTAAGTTTAGCAATCAAGATTTCCTTTGCTTGAGAGGCAGAATCAATGCAATAATGCAATCATTTGGATTATCTAGGGATATGTGATGGTGACCTACACAAATAACACATTGGCCATCATCTTAACCCTGAATGAAGGCTTTTGGGCTGAAAAAATGAAAGAGACAAAAGAGTGTGTTCACATAGGTTTGAACACACAAAAATAAGATCTGAAGAATTAACCAAGAGAAATTGCCCAAGTGGAATTTGTAGAAATATAAGTTCAAGTCATAGAAAACCTTAGGGTGAGAGATATCAAAAAAGGTTGATTGAAACCTTATCTCAGGAGAATAGGCTCTCAGATTTAAGAGGTGATGGGCTGTGAGAGGAAAGATGAGGGGGCTTGTGTAGGTGAATTTCTTGAATGCCATGTTCAAACACGCTGGTCCCCAAGGCAGGGCCATGAAATGTGCACCTCTCTTTCCTTTCTTCTTTTATTCTTTGTTTCCTTTTCTTCCCTTCATTCTTTCCACTTTTCTCTCTTCCTTACTTTGTTCCTTCTTTCTTCCTTTCTCTTTCTTGCACTGGACTACAGTTTGGGCCTGTTTAACCATAGGTATCTTAGGCAAACAAAACATACTTTCTATTCCTCTATGTTTTTCTCTGGCACTGCTTGATTCACCTTTTGTCAAACCTGTTAGGCCAAATAAATTAAAGATACAAAAGTAGTCTGGTTTAGCTTAAGAGTTCTCCTTACTGGGAGATTTGGGGTTTAAGTCCAGCTAATAATTGTTCTTTGTAAAGTTTCTCTCTCAATACACCACAGGAAGTAGAGTGGTTGTTCTTGGGTTTCGTATTCAAATATACCATCTATCGGCACCAGAGACTTGCTATAGAAGTTCAGTGCTCCCCTCCCCTCAAGGCAAGTGAGGAGGCTTCCAAGATAATTAATCTGTGTCTCCAAGGGAGACAGAGGCAGAGGTGTTTAAAGACTCAAACCTGGAAAGTCTAGAGAGGGGTCTAGACAGTGTGAAGACCATGAAGAGGCATGGTTTTCATGAGCCTTCCCTGGGAAGGGAGAGGCTCAGTTAATTCTTGAGAGATACTGTGTCCAGGAGGATGTTTTGGATGAAAGAGGTGACCCCAGGAGGGGTATGGACCTCCTGGGAGCTGGGAGACTAGGAATGAAGTAGTAAACCATAGGTTGGCTTTCCTGCATCAGGGGGACTTCAGTTGAGAAATTCTCCCTGAAGGGGGAGGATCTCTGAAGAACCCACAGATGTGACTCATGATTCTGCCATTTCAGGGAGAAGTGAAGGGTTTATTGTTAGAGGGCCATTCCTGCTTTTGACTGCTTCCTTCTCTCCTTCCTCCCCAATTTGGATTAGCCAAAAGCAGTAGATACTGAATGGCATTAGAGAGGATGTGTAGATGGTTGAAAAGCCTGGTCTTACCCAATTTCCCCCCTACCTATTTTACAGTTTTAATATTGTATCAGCTCAGTCTTTTTAATGTTGAGTGAGAATATCACTGCTGCTGAAAAGGATTAACACAACTCTGGGGCTTATTTAAGACTTCATCCTGTGGCATGGAAAGAACTATTTAAGACAACAGGTTTGATAAGGAAGGAAGTAGGAGAAGGAACAAATGTGATCTTAGACTTCTCATCCCAGCTATTAAATCAAATATGGCAGTGAGATTTCACAAAAACTCAGAGGGCAAAATTCTTAGATCAGGTAAGTATAACCTGGGAAATAAACAAGATGGTAAAGATGAGTATGGTAGGCTTCCCTGGTAGTCCAGTGGTTGAGAATTGGCCTGCCAATGCAGGAGACTTGGGTTTGATCCCTGGTTGGGGAAGAAGATCCTACATGCTGTGGAGTCACTAACCCCATGCATCAAAACTACTGAGCCTGTGCTCTAGAGTCTGGGGATGGAAACTACTCAGCTTACATGCTGCAACTA